ACGGTCTCCTCAGCGTGCACCCAATCTATCTGCATTTTCTCCTGCATATTTTTTGAACGATAGGTTCTCAGTTAGTTTTTCCCCATAATTCCTTGTTGCTAGTTCTTTTTGGTCAGCCATTTGATCTTCATTATGGGGCCAGAGAAGTGGGCAGCTTTTGATAAAAGTCTGCTATTGCTTATACTCAAATTAAATTGAATTCTGTTTGACTCAACTCTATAGTCGTTTTGTTTGCATTAACCTTTGGTTTTGACAGAGTTCGATTTTTTTCTATATCTCGTATTGTGTGATATCTGAAGTTTCTCTTACTTAGTTTACAAAGAGAAATTTCGCTATATTTTCTGTCTTTTGGGCTTCCTCCAATAGTCGAGTTTCAGACAAATGTTTCTTTCCCTAACTGATGTTGTCCGTGGTGTATCTGTCGAAGAGTTGTTCCAGTGAAGTCATTGTTTCATTTAGTTTACTGTCGTAAATTTATTAGTAGCACCAGAGTTCCTCCTACCTGTTAATAGTTCTCTCATATAAACTCCATGCATCCTGGAATTTTGTTATAGTTCTCAAAGTAATATGCGTTAATATTTCACTTATTTTTTAGTGAAAGATGCTCAGCATCCTCTTATTCACAGTGTAAAAATAAATATTCAAATATGTTGGGTTTGTAAAGATTCAGTTGGTCTCAAGGTAGATTTTTTTCACGAATCGATGCCAGTTATAGAATCATTAAAAGTCAGGAAGTGTTGATTTTGACAATTGTTCAATACTCCCTTTGAAATCTTCAACAATCTGCACTTAGTCGTTCGCTAACTGATATGAGAGTTTTTAAGAAATCTACCTTGAAATCAGTCAAACCTCCAACAAAACAAAAACTTAAAGATTTTTTATCACCTTATTATTGATTGCCCATGGGGTGAAATTATTAAGTTTCCAGTGAGAATTCGTTATCAGTGGGTCTCTGCCGATTCAATGTGAAGACAGATACTTCTCAACGGTATTGGATGACTATAGCGGTATATCGCGAATTGATAGAAGTTAGATTTTATGAGCAATTCTGAATTCTGACTCAATGGCTGAATAAAAACCTGATCACCTGAAGGTCTTTGGTTCTTATCACAAACAGTGCTATCTAATCATTGGGTTAGAATTCGAGTACTCTGTATTTTTGAGCATATTCAACTGTGATATGTCTTGGTTATTGCTAATTCGAACTGATGAACATCCTTTAAGCCAAGACCAAAATCTTGTTCACCTTTTCATGGTTTTTCAAATGGTTTCTTCTTCATTAGATATTGCTTGAATATTCAGCAAATTAAATCATGTATCTACGGGTAATCTTTTCTTGACTGTATGTAGAAATTTATAAGAATCCTGTAAAGTATGAATTTTTAGTTTGGAAGACATAAAATGGTAGACACATGATAGAGTACTGCATAATTCAGGCAAGTCAGTTGATAAGGTTTTACACCTTCACCGACCGAGGTGGATGTCGAATCAACACTTGCTCTGAGGAGTAATGTGTTCGAATTGATATCAGCACTCTGAAGTCGATGAATACATTCATAATTGTCTATGGCTCATTTTCTTTTGTGTAGTATTCTAGAGTAATGGCATTTGCTTTTATTATTATTGTTTCCTTTAATTCCTAGAGGAACATACGGCTTCAGCCGTGCGTCTCCATTGCGTTCGGTTCTCTGTTAGAGTCTTCACCTGGCTCCATGTCTACCCACACGCTTTCATCTCCTCTTCACATGACCTCCTCCAAGTCACCCTTGCACTGACGACCAACTCGCCGCTTCCAATACAGTCAGGTTCCACTCGGGCAACGGCTTGTCTAGTGATGTCACTTGATGGTTTCCTAAGAGTATGGCCAATCCATCTCCATTTCTTCCTGCCTATTTGTTTCACAATTGGTTCCTGGTTGGTTCGCTCCCAGAGATCTCTGTTGCTGATCTTTTCTGGCCGGCCATCTAATCTTGAGTGGTATTGAGTGAAGACAACTGTTAATGAAGGTCTGTAGTTTGTTTGAGGTGCTCTTTATGACGCGCTGGCCAAGTCTCTAATCCATCCGTATAGTAGCACTGACTTCACATTTGAGTTGAAAATCCGGATCTCATTTTGATGCTGAGTGCTGTTGACCTCCACACAGACTTGAGAGTAGTGATAGCTTGTCTTGCTTTCCCGATCCTTGCTTTGACATCCTCGTCAGTTCCGCCTGTAGTTGAAACGATGCTTCGCAGGTAGGTAAAAGAGGTTGTTTCTTTCAGGTTCCTTCCATTGATGCTGATTGTTGTCTATTGTTGTTGTTGCTGTTGGTGGTGTTGCCCAGGAATTTTCATCACCTCTGTTTTCCCTATGTTCACATTTGCTCAAGAAGCAGTCTTCCATTTAGACTAGTTGTGTTCCCCGAATAACATTGAAAGAAGTTGAATTTCACCATATAATTTAGGTAAGATTGCTGAAGATAAGCAGTTTGCCATTAGGTTATTTCCATACCCTGGAATAATTCTATCCAAATTCTAGTTTATTAGATAATCTTGTGTATTTAAATAATCTAACTATGTACCCGGATACCATCAGCTACACCGATCATGTGAAATGCATGTGTTCATATGCGTGGAAATCTCACGTGATCTCTACTAAAATGGTAAACCACTTATATCACTACTTTCATATATATATATATATATATATGTATACTCAGTGTATTCTTTTAAAAAGCATTTGTGTCAAGAGTTTTAAAGCTCCTTTCAATTTGAGTTTTTATGAAGGCAAGCTGACTGTTGTTATAGTCACTTAAATCGTAGATGGTTTCAGGCTTTCTTCGCCATGGTTCAGAATTGGTTACAATGCCCACAGATGTATTTATTCTTTGTCACCTTCAGAGTTTTGAACAGTGTTTCCAAATTTTTCTTACTCAGTACATGTCATGTAATAATGAAACCTTATGGCTACCAGAACAATAAAAAAAGACTTATGTTCCTACTCTACAGCTGATTGATTAGTTGATAGTTGAAGTGGCAGATTATAAGTTCGGTGGTGTGTGAAATTATACTACTAGTAGTTTTCTAAATGGAAGAGAACCTCTAGTTGACCTCAGTTAATCACTTGCATATTGGATTACTGAAATACACATTTATCTATTTTTCACTATAACCTTGCGGATGTAACTAAAACTGCTGTCTGCCTTTATCAGTTATATCATCTATAGTAAGGTTATCGAATTCTGGGCTTGTAGATCTGCGATATATATATATATATATATATATATATATATATATATATATTACAGAAGCCATTTCACTGGTAGACATATGCATTCAATTAATGTCTCTGTCTGATTCATAATTACATGTATCGTTACTGTCTTCATCTTCTACCTTCTTCCTTAAAGGGCTTCTTATGACTACTAATAGAAAGTATAGTAAATGAGTTATTGATCAAAATATTTGAAATTCCTGTCGTTTGTATATCCAGATGATGTTATTCAAGTAGAAGAAAACATATGCTTACTGGATTCCACTGTTAGTCACTACCTATCAAGTAAAATACATTGAATTGAGACTTATTCACAGATATACCCAGCCAAATACAAATCACATTACATCACTCTTTGATTACCTCGGCACAACAATTGCTTAATCCTTGATGTGTTCGGTGAAATAAATGACTGTACGGGACGAAATAACGTGAAAAAGTTATGATAAGCAGTTTATCTGAGCTATTAAGAGGTCTTCGACAAGAAACTTACCTATTTTTGTTACTTTTTGTTAGGGAAATCTATTTATGACCTCAAAGAAATCGTTTATCCCTTATAGATAGAACGTGGTGCTAATTAGTGTTTCTACAGGTCACACTCTTTCTGATATTTCCTAAATCACTCCTGACAGACAGTGTCAATCTTCGATTGAGATGGTTAGGACATGTGTTACGTATACCTGGCCATCGCCTTCCTCGACGGGCAATGTTAGCTGACATAGGATCAAGTTGGAAAAGAGCTAGTGGTGGTCTAAGCAAAACATGACATCGGTCAATGAAACCCACAACAGTTAGTTTCAGCCCCACCTAGGGAGGTGTAGACTTCCTGACTGGTTGGGGTCGTCGGGACAGTAAAAACCAGTGGACGGAGACAGTTGTTGATATGGCTCAAAATCGTTCTCAGTGGCTGGCGCAGATGCATCCACTCCTTGTGACTTATAATATCCAATAAAACTATATTGTTCTTCCATATTACTATTCTTTTTGCCTCACATCTCTGTTTACTGTCTCTATTTTGCGTTTCTTTTTACTCTCTTTTCTTACTTTGTATGCTACATGGAGGGAGTGTGGCAACTCGAAATGCTGCACATCGGTGCAAAGTTCTACGTTGAAACCAGTCAATCTTCACTATAATTCTTGTGAAATCATTAAAGGAAACACTGAAGGCCTCAATCTATAAAAATTCAACAGTTAACTGAATTCCTCAAGTTTTTTTAAAGTCATTGGAAGTTAGTAAAGCTCAGTCTCTTCGTTTAAATTCCTTCATAACTTTAATCAGTAGAGTTGTATTTCCCTGCTTATTTGAGACAGAAACGCTTTCCAAGGAAAAGTTAAAGAAAAAAGTCAGATGTTTTTTTTAATACTTTTTGATTTAAGTCCGTGACAATTTGTGTCTGTTTTACTTGCCTCGTTTGATTTTTATCTTTCTCCTGTTTTCTTAGTCTCAATACTCTACTTGATATTGTAACTGAGACCTTTAGTGTTATTCTTACAGTTTCTAACATTCATTGCCTACCGTTGAAACTGGTCATTTAGGTGTACTTACCTGATGAAAATTCATAATGTATCCATCCATCATTTCCTATGTGCTGAAGCCTTATCGAAGAGTCTATTGACTCGCAACAAACACGTGTTGTTAATACAGCTGTAAATCTCTATTTTTAGATTTCTTTACGCTGTGTGCAAGTTTTTATTTCGAAATATTGCTAACGTATTTTTCTTCTCTGGTTACCATTTTCATTTTATAGAGATCTAATGGAAACTACCAAGCCTTTCCTAGTCAATACTATTCGCGTTCCAGCATTACCAACATTATTATTGTATTGTCGAGAAGTTGATACAAATGCAAACATTTCAAGGTTTGTAAATCTTATAAAAATTTATTGTAAACTAGTGTGATGGTTTGTTGTAAATATCTTTTTGGAACTGTATCTGTTGTAAGATAGTTTCAAGGGATTAGATTTAAGTGCTTCTCCAATATGAAGACCTACGCGTAGATCACTCATCCATGGGTGAAGTGAGGAGGTTCACCTACCATAGGGCCGTAACTACTGTGAAGATTATTTGCTTCTAACTAAATTTTGATTTCCCCATTGGTTGTTTGGACGGGAATGTTTGGCCTCGATTGGCACGTTGGCTCGTAGCAAGGACGCCTTGACGATGTCTCAGAATTAATTTGAAGTAAAAATAAATAATAACTAATGCCTGTTATACAAGAGGTGGCTCTCTTCACCCAAGTGGTCTAGTGAATAACACCTTGGTGTTTGAAACGAGGGATACTTGTCTCAGTGGGAACACCATCGTCCAATAGAAAATGCGAGTACATCCAGATGATGACTCCAAAATATGGCGAAACGCACATCCCGAATTCCACTGTTTGTCACTATCCACCAAATTACTGTTACTATTGTCTATCTTTGATTATTGAAGTTGTGAATCTGCAGATCAAGTATATGTAGAGTATTCACTAAGCTAGCTAAATAGCAAATTATTATACCAGCCGCAATGCACACCTAATCGCTACACTTCTATAAATACCTCTCCTCACACAACATAACATTTAAAGTATTCTCTTACTAATATCTTCAAAACAAATCGTATGAGAATCTAAAGTTAGTAGCATTACTATTCTATGTTGAAATCGTATGATCTGTGATGAAAAAAGAGTTTGCTATGGTGGATTTTTTCTCCTTGCATGACAAATAATTTCTTGATAGTACTTAACTCTATAGATTAGAATAAACTTTAATATGCTCAGATGGCACTCAATAGATTCTTCTGATCAGCACATATACTAGTGCACAATTTTCATGTTTAAATTCTATAAACCAGAAGAAATAAGTGGTTTCAGGAGCCCTTTATTTCCCTCCCCTTGTCTCTCTTTCAGTAATAATCTACTACTTCTTTTCTACTAGATGGTTGAAGGAAATCAGCAGGAAGCCTTGGACCTAGGTTTCGTGCTAGTTGGTACTCCCCAGTCAGCAAGGCGTATCTACAACCTTGAAGGAACTCATGTCCCTTCTGAGATTCGGACCTGTATCACCTAGTGCTGCAGTCAGAGGCGTTACCACTGTGCTATTCACACTGGCGATTGACTTCCTATAGGGTCATATGGGATACATTGATTGGACACTAGTTAGTCACTAGTGTAATGTGTCTATTCCTTTGTTTGTTGCAGACTGAATTCTGTCAGTCGTCAAGTTGCTAACTAGTGTCGAATTAAAGACTTCGTTTCTAGTTTTCCTTAATAACTTTTTTCTCATATGTTTTTTGTTAACACATTTTAAAATTGATCTATTATCACATGAAATTCTCATTATCTAGTAATGATAATAATAAACGTGACTTGTAGATTGTGCCACTGTTGTTTGAGTTTGTCAGTGTAGCAGTATGTTAAATCATATTGAAAATAATCATTTAAACACGTTATACACGGTAACGGGTCATATATATATATATATATATATATATATATATATATATATAATGTGAAATTCTTAAATTTCACACCACAAATGATAAAAATGACAAAGTGCCTTTAGTGAAGAGTGGTTCTAGAGTAATCTGTCCAAGAAACACATTATTATTCATAGTATACATATTTTAACAAACAGGAAACTCAACCCTAGAAACCAACAGAACATGATGTGAATGTCGAGATTCGTCAAGTCGTTGACGAAGTCTGAAAGCCAACCGATGAAGTTATGAATTCTCCTCGATACAGATGGTTGGAATTTATGACACATATATAACTAAGTTATTACCTAACTCATCTAACCATATATCATCTATGGCATGTGCTAGTGACAAGAATTTTTAAACAGTATTATTAGTGATATCTTCTGAAAGGATCTTGAATAGTAAGACGACGGATTCAGTTGCAGAGAGGCGAAGTGAAGATATTTGTAAAATAATATAAAAATCATGAAATGAAAACAAACACAACAACTTCTTGCAAATTGAAATTTGAACGTAAAGTTTTTGCCTTCTGCTCCCATTGTCAAATAAACAACTCTCTGCTGCCAAATACCACTGTACTCCGTGGTGACGTATCTACTAAGAATGTGAGTGACAATAAACTATAGCAGCCCAAAACGAAACTACCTCCAGCGACCAATCAGATGCGTCAGAAGTTAAAGTGCGTAATTCGAAATAAACGTCTATATACAAGTAATGCAACGTAAAAAGGTGGTTACATAGAATAGTAGTCTTGTATATGTTCCAAAAAAACCTCCCACTTCCTCATAGAAGTCCTCATAGCCAGATTAAACCAATTTCTGTACATAAATTCGTCAAGGTCATCAATCCGTTCATTAGTTGTTCCGTTTTGGGCTGCTATAGTTTAAAGTCACCGGAATATGATTAAATCAAAAGAAGATTAGCAGTGATCAAACAAACGTTTAAAACGCCAGTCGTCTATAGAAGTGCAATCTACCTGTTTAGCATCTCCGAAACGTTACTAATGATAGGTATGCAACGCTAGATGAAACTGTCCAAAACCCTGACACATTTACAAAGATGTGTTTCATCTGTAGCATTTTGTAAACTGGGAAGGTCTCATTATTTCATCATTTTTGTTTTCCTCTTTTCTCTTTACCTGCTTCATCTTCATTATTTTCATCTCTGTCCCGTTTCGTATTTGTTTTGCTTTTCTCAATATACGGCAACTCTAACCGTTACAGTTTTGTATTTTTTTTAAAACTCCTCACTGAATTCCGTTTATTCACCTGTCTGTGTTTAATGTCAGTAGTCATAGATAACGGATGTAGATTTTATGATTTCCTGTCTATCCAGGGTATTATATTGAGAATCTAATACGAAAGGTGTACAAACTGAAAATTTTTTTCTTTCTTGGATTGCATTAATCTTTATTCCACTCTTGGTGTAGACAGCAATTAAACATATCAGGGATATTACTGTTATTAGTGCAAAATTAATAATCATGCGCCTTAGGATGTTTTCTTCCCTATGCATCATGTGACTGCGTCTGAAATCTTTGTTTGCTTCTGTTTATTATTATTATTTTCACATAAAGCATGTGACTATCTGTTTTCGTGATGGATGAGATTGTGAAAAATAACAACAATAATAATAATAAGTCCTTCAAATAAATCTTGTTTACAGCTAATGTGACTCTTAAATATAAGCTCATTGTGACTTCGCAGTTTGACAACAAATTTGACCCATTTATAAACAATCGTTTTTTGCTCTCTATGTTTAATTTGATTGTAATCTTATATATTTGTTATTGTGTTTAGTTGTTTTTATGTATATTTTTGTGGAAGTCATCTGTAGGCAGTCTAGTGGATACAAAGGCTAATGGAACTGCGAAGTGAATTGAATTGTTGACGAAAAACTTTGCATAAAAAATACATTAGACCAAGGTGACGCAAATTAGTAGTCAGGCTTATATAAAAGTAGAACAAAGACTTGTAATTAAACTATAACAGAACAAAGTATACGGCTTAAAGAATAATTAGATGAATACTAGTCAGGATTTTCAAAATCTAGGTAACAAAAAAGGGTTGAATACATACATCAATGCGATTGGGGTATTTTGTTTCATTGGTTGGAGGATTTCATCATGAGCTGGCATCAGTTAGAGGACCATTGAAAAACCTGGGAGTACTAGACAGCCAGTTGTTTCGTCCTAGCTTGGGACTCCTCATCAGTATGCACCCACCGGGGTTCGAACCCAGGTTGCCTACAGCAAGTTGAAGGTGAGGTCAGTTACTCATCGAAGGCATTGCTAAGTGGTCGTGCTATGTTGTGAATTGGTAGAAGTTAGAATTCATTGCCGTTGGATCGGGTCCCAGTGGCTTAATCGTCTACGATACCTCATATATTAAATAGTTTCCTCACTAATATTTGCACTCATTTAAAGTGTTAATTCTCTTCCTGTCAATCACAGGTTCAAGCGAATTCTTAACGAATATAATTTAATACTTATTTGTTATCACAATGCCCATGTGTTTGTATGTATGTTTACCTTAAAAACTAGTATAAATAATCATGTTTGTAGAGTATTCAGCTGAATTCATTAAATACTGTTGTTTTTTCCTCCATAATTGTTGCTTGTTTAAATACACTATCAGTAAGAAATCCTTTCAATTTTTAATATGGATTGATCAAAATTGGGTAGGTGATATTATCTCATACATAAAGCAGTTTTAATTAGTCTTAAAACTTTAATCTGTACTGTTTTAACTAAATTTTACTCACAATAGTCACTTCCACCTAATAATTATTGATTGAAAACCTTGAGAATATTCTATGATGTTGGTTAAATATATGATTAACAATAATGGACTAATGCGTAATCCTACTGTTTCATCTGAACATATGTATATACAGACTAATGCTAACACCTACATAACAGTTTATTCATGATCTATTAACTCTATGATGACTGCTAACGAATTAAGTCAGAAGGACATCATGCAGAGTCTATGAAAACAACATGCCAAATCAGAAAAGAGAAAAACTCAGGCATACCGAGTTATATATATATCCCTTGTCTCTTTCTTCTTCTCAATACTGTGCCGGTGGCACAGCAGTTAGGACTCTCACTGACCATGCAAATGGTGCGGGGTTCAATCCCCTGCCGACGCACATGTGGTATCAATGGTCGGCCTGTAAAATTTGGGCTACCGATATCGTATGCTGAAAATTCCGTACTTGTACCGAAAATTCTGTAAGGTTTCAAGCTATAACCAAAATTAAAATTTCTCATTTATGTTATTTAAAGAGAAGTCTGTTATTTGCTCCAAACCAGAATAAAAAAAAGTAAAGCTGATCAGGTAGGTAGAGGTGTTCACAAAGCATCTTTTACTCTAATAATACATTCTTTTCGTCAATC